TTGCTGCTGCAAAACAACAACATCTCAGCTCAAGATGCGTTTTCCAAACGTGCCTGCTCTTAAAGGACTGTGCTGAAACACAGTGTGAGTGGGGAGGCAGAAAGACAAAGGACGTCTTCAGCAAAAGAAAAAAAAAAATTGTTGAACAATAGTGCATGTAGTGAACAGAAGGGAGGGAAGGAATTTCAAAAATCCATCAGGCAAGAAGAGGAGCGAGGACAAGCGGTAGATGTGATGAATGCAAGCTGTCCAGAGGAAAGATGAATGCAGGAATAAAGAGTAAAATAAGAAAAAAAAAGTAAGTTGGAGGGCGCAAATTACAGAGTACATGAGAAAAAAAGTTTCAGGAGAGTCCAGTAGTCTTGGGGTTTTGGGTCCTGCTGGGGCCTGCCAGCCCACCGCGGCAAAAACACTCGAACAAAAGGATCATTTATTGGAGGAGGAGGAAAGAGGGGGAGGGATGAAAGGAGGAGGAACACTGTACAGAGGCATTTGAGAGCTGTGTGAGTGAGGACTGGCCCCATCTCAACATTCACAGCCAATGTGTAACATTCCCCCCATCCCGCCCCAAACGCTGCACCGCTGATGTTCTCAGCAGCCAGACCCCATATGGTCCTTCTGCGGTAGCATGCTAGCATCTCGATGTAAAATACACAGAAAACTCATGCATCTTCCACAGAGACGGCCTCACGTCTCCAAATAAAAGTAACGCAGTGAGGTATGGACACAAGCCGGTGGTTCATTTCCATCCGTGGAATGAAACCCAACTGTTGAGCCGCGCTCATTGAAGGATCCCATGATGAATTTCTGCTAATGCCTCAAATTCTTCATTGATTCCAACGTTTACCACAAAAAACAACAACAAAAAAATGAAAAAATCCCAGAGAGGATTTCGGTCCAGCACGGCCCATGGTGCAAATCACGTGGAAGCAAACAGGGCTTCATAAGCGGCGAGGCTTGGCAGGATGCATGCATCACAAGAGACCCACTGTGGAAGCTTAAGCAAGACTACTGAGTGTTTTACTGATGCATATAAATTCCCCCCATCTCCATTTAAATGCTGCTCTATCTGCTTAAACTGCAGGCGTCCGTTGCTTAACGGGCCAATTTAGTGCAGACAGAGGTTCAAAGGGAATGTTTTTCTATGAGGAAAATGCCTCAAAGGGAGTTAGTTAAGGCATTGTTTAGCCACGGTGGTCCCCCACAGCTAGAAAATTGCTCCACACAGGAGGAGAAAATGTAAATACAATGAAAATCCATTATCCAGCCTCGATGACCTCATTGAATGTGCAGAGAAAAAAAAAATGCTGACTTTAAATGCATCAGGAACTCTACACATAAAGTGCATGTGATTACAGGAAAACACTCATCATAAAACATTTTTGTTAACTCTGCAGTGGGCTCAACTAAACATTCAAAGCTTTCAGATTAAGTAATGTACAAATCACAGCACGCAATGCTTTCAGGGCCAAATCTACAAACCTGGAACTTCTTTCAAGTCTTTGCATACTTTCCTACATACGTTTTAGAGCTCTAGAAGTGCAAAAAAAAAGAAGGAGATGATAAAAAAAAATATGAATTATAATTCAAAATTTCTTTCTCTCACAGCAATCTCCTCAAGTGTCATAATGGAGCATTTTAATTTGACAGGTCAACAGAAAACAGGGTCAAAGTTAATCTTTATTGAACTTAAAGCAGAACGCTTCAGTGGCAATTGTGAATGGTTTCCTTTGCTAAGAGTGGGACTGCAGCGAGATGTCTCAGACAGCTCTTCTCCTCAACAAACAATGGCTCAATCAGAGCAGAATGATTCTGATGTTTGTCATAAATGTATTAAAAACAGATCCCAGTTCTGCTTTTAAACTCCCAATAGGGAAAAGCAGCACTGAGCACGCATGGACAATATTCAAGAAGCCTCAGATCAATAGCAATTTCCACAACTTCGATATTTACTGATATTTCAGGAGTCTGTCTGACCTTTAACACCTTATCTAATCATATCAGGTGAAGAGTTTCTGTACACCAAAGCTCACAGAGGTAAATCAATTCATGATTTGTCAGAACAGCTAAGCTTTGGCTCTTACTGCAGATTATGCAGACAGTCACACAAATAAACAAGTCTCTACATTTCAATCTGGCGCCAGGTAAAGTTTGAATACAAACATCGATGGATAGGGAGGCTGTGCTCTATTGGATTATCTTGAAAGTATATTCTTTTTTTTATTCTGAGCCATGTGATTCCAGGAAAAGAAAGAGAGATAGAAAACCTATGAGCATAGTGGTGACATAGAGATCACAGAGTCTGTATGAAGACAAAGACATGAAGAGGGGAAAAAAAATAACAATTCTTACCAGTTCCCTCCTTGCTTCCATTTTGGTGCGTCCGCAGCTCCTCTGATTTGTAGAAGTCAATGCTGGCGTACGTGTTCAGGCTGGAGCTGCCACTGCCGCTGCTGCCGACTGATACACCTGCCGCCCCCACCCCAGAACCAGAACCCAGTCCAGAGAAGAGGCGAGATGGGGCCTGGTTGCCAGAGGGCCCATCCAGTCCCACGTGGGGGCTCTCCTTGTTGGCCAAATCCAAGTCTATGTAGTTAAGGCCTTGCTCTGCAGATGAAGTCTGAGCATTTGTGGGAAGAGATTGCTGTCCAGGAAGGGGGAACTGAGTGGGAGATTCAGTCACAACACCATTGCCCCACAGCATGCTTTCAAAGCCCAGCCGGCGGGCTACAGACTGGTGTTCAGGAAAGAGGGAAGCAGTTGAGGAAGAAGTCGAGGTAGAGGTGGAGAGGGAAGTTGAGGCAAGGAAGGTTTCTGAGCAGTGCCGTCTGCGTCCTTGGGGGTCGGCCCGGATAACTTTAGCTCCCTGGTCTGGGTTGGGTCCTGTTTTGGATAGGGGAAAGTCTAGACCCCGTGGCAGCACAGATGTATCATCCCTGGTGGGAGATGGGCCTTTTGGGGAGACGCTAGATGATGACCGGGGGACAGGGTTGTTATTCAAACTGAAGGCCATCTCTGTGTAGTCTCCACATGATGTAGGAGACTCGGATTTTGTCACTGATGGAACACTTTCTCCGTTTTTCCTAAGTAGGGCCTCTGCCACTTCAACTTCATCTTCATGAGGTTCAGTATTATCCTCATTACAGGGTTTAGGGGCATGAGCAAGCGTTGGGGGTGTGGGAGGGGTATGGAAAGAGGGGAAAACCAGCGGGGTAAGAGAGAGGGGTGAGGGCGATGGAGAAGGGCCCAGGTCCATGTTGACGTACTCAGAGGCAGCTGGTGGAGTGATCGGGGCAGATGGGCTACGGGAAAGGGGTATAAAGTTTCCAAAGGAAGAAGATGGCTTCTGTTGAGGCTGCTGGCTGCTGGAGCCATGAGGCAGCGATAATCCATGCCTTAGACCCCTACCACGACCTAATCCTATCCCAGTCGGATTGCCCTTCTCCCCCTTGAATTCAATGCTTACATACTCCCCAGGGCTCTTAGGTTCTGGTGGCAGAGGGTTCTCACGAACTCTAGGAAGAGTGTTCGCTTTGGATACGTCAACAAACAGGCTAACAGGTCTGCTTCTAGTATAGCTACCCTGCTTGGACAACCCACCAGAGCCTCTTCTCTGCTGCTGCTTACTCCCATGCTTGGACTGAGTTCCCCCAGTCACGTTACTCAAAGCCTGGCTAGTTCGCTCGTCGCTCTCACCCAGACTTTCACTGCTGGCTGAGCTGGAGGAGTACGAGGAAGATGAGAGAGACAGGTGGCGTCCAACTACTGCATTACCAACTGCTGCTTGCTCCTGAAGCCCTCTAATAGGTTTACCGCCACCCATTCCCCTCCTAGAACTCCCATTGGGCCTTCTTCCTCGTCCAGGACCATCATCAAAGTGTCCGGTAGAGGGGCTATGTTTATAAGACCTGGGTAGGGAATAGTAAGAGTACACCATCTTGGGACCATGTTGCTGCGGACTGGTCTCCAAATGTGATGAGTGCTCAGGAGGTGGGGGACTGCCGTTTACAGAACGTGCACTAATTGGAGACATGTTCATATAGTCACTGCCTGGCCTGCTGTCTGCACTGCCACTGCCCACCCAAGCCCCACCGGAGAGACCTCCACGCTGGTCAGGGGAACAGCTGCTATTAGGGGACATTATCATATAGCCATCAGAATTTGGTGGAGGTCGAATCTGCTGTGGAGGCGACACGCTGTTGTTAGGAGTCATGGCCATGTAATCATCAGCAGGTTTGGAGTCTGAGTCGGGGACCAAAACGGCCAGTGACTGGGAAAGGGACGTCGGAGGCTGAGTAACTCCAGGTAGCATTGACATGTACCCATTGTCCACGCCTAAATCTACGCTACCACCTGCTCCTCCAGTGCCTTCAGCTTTAAACTCTCCTGCCACATCCAAGTACCCGCCTCCTCCCCCTGCCGACCCAGCACTCATGGCAGATTCCTTCTGTGTAGAAGAGCAGGTGGAAGTAAAAGACTCTCGGCTCGTGCTTCTTGACATGATAGCGTAATCGGCCGAATCGTCATCTGCTGGCTCCTCAGCTCTGCGCTGACGTGGAGCCAGCCTTTCCAGGGCCATAGGAGGTAAGGAGGCCCGCTTGCTCAGCAGCCTGCGTTCAGCTTCACATTCTCGGCTGGAGGAGCGGCGTAGAACTCTTTTAGTTTGAGAGCCAGAGGTTGGTGTTCCTGGTGTTTGCTGGGAGCCACTTCCTTGATTACTGTTGCCACCACCACTGCTACTACGTTGGCTCATTAGGATATAGTTGGCCCCATCTTCACTGAGGGACTGACTACTGACACTGCCAACAGAGCTTCCAGGGAGGCTAGGAGAAGGTAGGAGCGTGTGATCTCCAGGACTTGAACCATACTCGTCTGAGGAGCCGTAGTCACTGGGTGAGCCGGAGACAGAGGCTCGATGAGAGGGAATACGACTATAGGCTCCAGACCCCGGAGCACCAGCACAAGACGTTAAGCCTCCAAACTCTGAGCCATGACCAGAACTAGAGGACAGACTTGGAGCTGGGGAAGGAGCTGGGGTCGAGATAGAGCGCATCAACCCTAAAGGAGTTTTAGCAGTTGTGGTGGGTGCTGAACGAGCTGATTTTGATCTGAGGATTGGGGTGTTAGAGCAAGAGCCATTGGTGGAGGGGCTGGAGTTCACCCCATGGATCGGTGTGGCACCTGTTATCCCATCCTCCCCTTTCCCTCCATCACTTGCAGTGCGAGACCTCGGGAAGCTATGCCTTGGCGTGGGAGAAGCGTTGCCACAGTTGATGGGTGCTCCACTGTTAGTTCCTCCAGGAGGCTCGGTTCGGGGCCGGCGGGTGAAGCCAACCTGGCTAGGAGGAGGGTTTGGGTGGTGGCGGCGTGAGGGAACACTGATGGGGTTAGAAGCAGTAGCACCTCCTCCAGGGCCAGAGTTGGACTGAGACTTGCTGCGCTGGCGGAACTCCTCACTCAACGCCTTCATGGCCTCTAGCAAGGTTTCATGCATGTTTTGGGCGACTACTGAATCATCCACCTAGGACAAGAGGCAAAAAGCATCTGATAAAGGGAATGAAATCACAATATGATTGATTTTATATTCACATAATGTATTCAAAGTTAAAAACTACTGCACATTAAACCACTAACATCTTAAAGACAAAGTGCCCTGTATTTAAATCTTAGATTGTCATGGAAACTCTGTTTAATCTCCTTTTTCAAACCCATGAAGCCTCTGACAAAACTTTGACATTTCTTTCACTCTGCTGATTGCGGGCTTTTAAGATATGAGTAGGATTGGAGAATGAAAATAACCATCAACATGAACAGAACTGTAGATTACAGGCTCACCTGCATCCAGAACTCGCCTGGGCCTGTCACTGCAGAGCGTCCCACCTCAACGAAGAAGAAGTTTTCTGAATGGCCGCAGCGTCTCACGTTCATCAGCTGCAGCACCACGGCGGCAGCATCAGAGTTGAGCTTCACAAAGTTCACCGTCTTGTCGGTCAGGCAAAGGCGGTAGATGCCAACCAGGTTCTTGGCCTGACCCAGGCCTTTGGGCCATACCTTTACCTGCCATACCTCTTTGAATGCTGGCCCAGGATTAGGCACTCCATAGTCTCCTGCACCGCTGCCGTCATTAGGATTCTTACCTTGAGGGACAGAACGGGGACAGAGTGAGATTAAAAGGTTACTGGGATGAAAACAAAGAGAAAAATAAGAGATTAAACTATTAAAGTGAGGATTTATGAAGAGCACTGGGAAGTACAGCTGTTGCAACAAAGGACTGACATGACTGTGATGCACCTGTAAATATAAGAAACAACTGATAAAATCTCTATTATATGCCTGTTAGTTGAGAGCAAGCCGTCTTTATTATGTAAGCTGTGCTGTGGCCGAGCTTTCCATATATTTCTAAAACAGATCCAAGTATAAACTGGGCACGCACTGGCTTGTGAGACCGGATCATTGTACCTGCAGGCTCCATGCCTGTGGTCTCATTTATCAGCTACACAGGCATCCTGACATACACACAGAGGCACACATACTACCAGTGTGGGAAAATTTAACTCTTGACAACTGAAGCTGAACATAAGAATGATGAATATGGAAAGGGAAAAATAACAGCTCTGTGGAAAACCTTAAGAGAAGCGATTTGGAAAATGCTTAATAAGAAATGCTTCTCCAAAACAAACAATGCAAATCACTGGCAGGAATCCTAACGGCACGCCCTTAACAGCTATTTTCTCAAGCGGAACTGACAATAAAAACTGGCTTTGTAAACTAATAAATTGAAGTTTCTTTAAGCAGCAGCACAGGCAGCACATTCACCCTTTGTGTTAAGTGTGCTGTAGTCAGATACCAGAGGCCTACTGAAGCCAAAACACAAGAGAAAACGGCCCAAAGTGATATCTGATCCTAAGTTAGTAGGGGCCAAACAAAGGCATGGGACTTATCTAACCACCTAATATTTGTCTGACTATTATCCCAGGAAAGTACCTTAATACTACGTTGTACTGCAAATCATTGTTAGCGGCTAGTGACACTACCTTTGAATATATGACAGATTTACATCTAAGCTCATTTATATCCACACACAAAAGACGTCAGATCTGTTGACTAGCACGGATTATAGGAACAACATTATGTGAGTCATGTTTAGGGTGGATTTCGTATTCTTCTCCAGGGAACCACCCTAAAAAGTTCCTGAAACTTATTTTCACATGTCCCACATTTCTGAGATACCTCTGTTATGTTGCCAGTTTGGATATGTCTGAGCATGATAACCATCTATGACACAGACTCAATCAAACTAATGACAAGGCTAAAGAAACAGACCTCAACATCAGAACCTGTTCCCTTGAATGGAACAGGATGGTCTTTGTGCATTTATAGTGAGCTTAAGCACCTGCCTTATTAGCCTACCACATCTGGCATACTGAAGGAGACGACGTATTGAAATAAGGAAAGTTCTATTTTTAAAAGGGTTATCTCATTGAAACCACTGGTTTGCTATATATTATATACATATATCTGCTGATGTTCCAACAAAGCCAAAGTTCAAATTTGTTCAGTAGAATCATTTTATCGTCTGATTTACTTTTAGTTCACTATCAGTTAGTCGTATTTACACAGTTCTTCTAATTTATAAATTTTAGCTAGCTAGAATTTTTAGCCATATACCCACGATGTTTAGCTATTTTTGGCTGTTAGCTTCATCTTGAGTTAATCATTTTGGACTTTTTAAGTCAGAATTTTAGATAAAACATATATAACATATATATTAAACATTAATGGTCAAAGAGGCACCATATTGATATAATACTGCAAACTGCAAGATTTTACGCAGACAAAGCAAAGTATTTTTGATTTCAATAAGCACAAGCAAGAAATAATTAAGGAGTCCTGACCGATCTTCTCTCCAAGTTAGGCATTTTGATAATTACGATCAGTTCACCAAGTCGCAGCTGTTGAGCCACACGATTTAATTAATGCACATAACTCTCTTCCTGTGGAGATGCACCTGTGGATCCTGAGAAGCTTCAAACTGAAGCAGCTGGAAGGAACAAACACAACTTCAACTTCAGTAAAAGCTGCATTTAGTGGTGAGTCTCTGTTTAACAACCTGTTATACACAAATTTCTGTTTAATGGCCAGTGCTGGTGCTAAAATATAGAAGAAGCCTCATGACTAAAAAAAAAAAAAAACCCAACTATTTTTCTGCACAAAGGATTAGTGTTGATTTGTGCACTTATTTTATTGTCAATTCCAACTGATTATCCATTAGCTTTTGATTTTGATTCATGTACCTCTAGCAACTGTATAAGAGCCCACAGAGTGCTTATTGGTGGTAATCACTGCCTTAAGCTATAGTTTTGATCCAACAATGCAATATTATCACAATACTTTACCCACAATATGATATTACAAGTATTGCAATAATATACATTGTAATTTATCACTTTTTTAATAGTGCAAATCACATCTTCAAAGTTAAACATTATCTTGTTTTATTTAAAGACATAAAATTATCTCACTCCAGTTATTTTTTGTTGCAAAAAGGTCATACTGGCAATTCAATGCAGCCCGTTTCTGATAATGCAACAATTAACTTTGAGAAATCGATGTTCACATGTCGGCTTCTGTCTACATATACAGAAATTCACTTTTAACTTACAGGAACATAACCTGAATACATTCAGCTCACAGCAAGTTGAGTCAACTCTTCTCGAGTTGTGCTCATTGACAGGGACTCATTCAGGCAGATATGTCTGCATTTATAAATTAGACAGAAATTATCTGCAAACCTTCAACAGTCAAAGGAGCTTGCAAAGAAAAGCGTCTGGACTTCTTTAAGTTGCTTGAAGACGTTTCACCTCTCATCCGAGAAGCTTCTTCAGTTCTAAGGTCAAATGGTGTCTGGGACTGCCCACCATTCTTCAAGCAACTTAAAGAAGTCCAGACGCTTTTCTTTGCAAGCTCCTTTGACTACGATGACCTGGATGACTGAGAACCTTCACAGACAAACCTTTAACAATCTCTCTGAGAGATATTGCAGTCAGTCCAAGTAAGATGGCAACTGTCAGCAGAAAGGTTGCCTCCATGGTTGTGAGTGTGAAACACCCGCAAGTCTGGGCAAGCATTTAGTCAAAAGTTGCAATCGGTTATAGAATGTGAAAAAATTCATTACAATCACTTTTTAATTTTTATTTTTTGGCGATGAAGGAGGTGGTTTTCCTTTTTTTACTGATGCGACTGAGCTATTAGCTTACTTGGAATAAGGAAGCACCTTTGTCAAGCTGTGTTTGTCCACTGTTGGACAGTTTTTCCAGTTTAGCCAATTTAATGTAAGCTTGCTTTGCTAACATTATATCAGAAGGATGGTACACACAATGAACCCCCTAGAGGGCGTTTATATGCACCTAATAAAAAAAATCTGCATTTGATGTCCCTGGATCAATATATCACCATGCAAAACAAAGTGATTCTATGCTGTGTTGATTTTTTTTTTTTATCCCCAGATTACAAGTTTTACAGTTTCACTAATGTTTACGTACACAATCTCGGGGCTGATGACTTCTCTGACTTTCTGAGGTAAAAATCTGTCTGTTCCAGCTTCGAAGTTCAAATTTCCAACAGAAGAACGACCATGTTTTACACAGATTCCCTAGTTCAATTCCAAGAGGAGACACAAACCCCTTTGGGGTTTTGTCACATTGCACATCTGGTGTAAAGAAAGGGGAAAAAAACCTGACAAATCAAACATGTGGAGCAGCCCGCTGTGGCGACCTCATTTGAATGAGGAACAGCCCAAAGTAGGTTTTCTATGGACGCTTCATTCTGTTTCCCCAAGCATCTGCTGGTTGAAAAGAAAAACCAACAACAAAAAAAACAATCCTAAAATGACAACCACATGTAGACCGGGACCCTCAGCATGCACAGCGAACATCACGTAACTGAGCTTCTGTTATGCAAACTGTTTTTCCAGATCCCAATCCCAAAACAGCTTTACATGCGATTGCACAAGAGGGAGAGGTCTGACGTGT